CATTGGTCAATAAACTACCTTATACTCCTAATTCTTAAGAACATTATCAAACTAGTCTGGAGATTTTAATTCCATTTCCAATCCCTAATAGTTGTCTCTACAAGCGAGAACCTGCCTGATAAAATTATTTGTTAGATTGCTGTAAATTCACTTTAAGCGAGTTTATTGCATGTAGAGACAACTAAATATGGTTGGGAGGTGGAGAATATATACATATTGGCTACAGAATGTATCTAGAATTAGGGATTGAAAGGTAGTTGATTGACCAATGCTGGAAAGTGGAGAGATTTATCACCAAAAGTGCCATAAAATTTTGTGCTGTATAGTTGCATGTGTTTGCACTCGGATTTGTAGCGTTAAATCCTGTTGAAGAACTTGAAGACAAAACCAGCACCACACTTGTAGTTAGATGATGTGCTGGAGGAGTCGATGTGTATGCACAATGATGTGCTAGCTGAGCCTCTGGATAAAGAATTTCAACATGCAGACACACAGCCTATTGCTAATATATAATGTGGATAGATGGGATACTCGGAGCAGGGGTAGTTGAAGTAGATTTAGTTGTTGCTTGTGGGAAATTCGGGATTAATATCCCAGCCATCAGGACAATATGTTGGTTTCTTAGAAGGGGGTGCTGCAGTACCGATCATGTCAACTAAAACCATTAAATCATTAATACATAACAACTTTTACTTTTTCATTTCATGACATGATTTGAGATCACAAATCTCTACTTTTTTCAGTAAGTTAGTTCAGCTGTAGGTGGTGGTACTGTAGGATAGCACAGCAGGATATTCTTCTTGGATCTCTAGCACTGAGAACCAGCTATGGTTTTATTCACTTGATCAGTTGTTGTTTTTCAGGTTCTTATTGAAGGCTCTTGAGTAGGCACTGGCCTGTTCAGTCCCACTCTACCCAGTCTGTCCGTCTCAAAAACAGGTCTCCTCATCAGGGTCCAGAGTAGGCATTTTCTCTGAAACTAAACTCATACAAACCATCGGCCACTATAGACCATCTCCCACACTTCTGCTGTACATTGTTGGTGTCTGAAGGGATATATTAGTATTGCTGTCAATAGGAAATATATTTATAGTAAGTCTAAAATGTGTAAAGTTAAATGGATAGAAAATTTAGTAGCATCTACCCTAATTTTATCATATTTGAAAGACCAAGACCTTCTATAGCTACTCCTTTAAAATTTCTTACACTACATCTTAGTTGTGCCCCAACTCACTGTATTTTAAGTATCTGCCTTGGCACACCTAGGTTTATATAATGTCATTTTGAGGAGTATTTTAAATCAAATTTTGAAATTTTCTAATGTGCAGCTGTATTTTTGGTAAAAAAGAGTAGAAAGTTGAAGTAGTGATAATTATGTCCGAAATAAAAGTTAATTTGTCTTGAATTTTTTATTCACAGGTTGGTAAAAAAAATAGACAGGAAGAGTTTCATGCACCTGCAAATCAAGTATATATATGTAAATTTTCTTTAACAGTCTCTTGTCTCGAACAATTAGTGTCCCTCAGAGCAACATGAAGCTGACTACCCTACCTCTAACCAACCTCCCTCTCGCTCCTCTGTCAGAGGTCCGTGCAGACAATAGTTCTGTGCACCTACTCTGTATGGAAGAATCCATTCATGTTCATTTACTACGTGCTGAATCACTGATGACATGCTCTGTAAGAAATTAAGCATAGCAGAAGTAAAAACAGATGTTCTTGCCATTCCAATGTAGTGAATAATTAGTGGTTTTGTTGTTTGTTTTTTATTGGATTGATCTACAATGAATTCCGTCTCAGATAGGTTTTGCAGAAGACTCTAAGCAAATACCAAAATGGTTCACTACTTCAGCAGTAAAATTTATGCCAAAGTAGGTTTTTTTTTGATTTCTTTTTGCCTGAGCCTTTTTATGCAAAGAAAAAAAAGACACATTTATCTTATATTTTTTTAGTTATTAAAAAAAGTTTTTGATATATTCATATTTCTTTAGAGAAATTCCTGCATTTTAATTACTAGATGTAATTAAATACCGGTACATGTATTATGTAAAAAAAATCTACCCATGTCAAGTAAAATATATGCATGTGTGTTGTGACATTCCATACTTCTTCAGTTATCCTTTCACTTTACATTGGAATTAATTTTTGAGAGTCAGCCAGCAAATGCTTTCTACAAGAAAAAGGGAATCCATCTCATCATTGGATTTCTTAAAGTTGTATACCACACAGCAACTTAGTTTTATACTCTTTTGTTGTATTGATTCTTTTCTTTTTTCCATTGAATCATTCTCATATAAAATATTATGATTAGTTTGGTGAAGCATATCAATACACAGGCCCAACTGCACCATTGCTTACTGAGAAGCTTTGACCATTCTGTTCTTTACCAAATTTCCCCCTTGTAATAAATATTGTGATCCCACCCTACCACATGGGTCAGAATTGGACAATTTAAAATTTACACTACACGATGCTTCCACAAAATTTTCAGCGTTTCTGGCCAAGAGTTCCTGCTACAAAGAAATTTAAAGTTTTTTTGTGTAGGGTTAATTTACCATGCATCGGTCACATACCATATTTCTATGAAAAACTTCCCTATTGTGGCCCCTCCCAACTCTCTGTCGGGTCATTTGAACAATTTAGAATCTACACCATCCAGGATGCTTCCACAAAAGTTTCAGCTATTCTGGACCAGTAGTCTTGGTAGAATAATTTTATCTTTTCTTGATTATCTCCCCTTGTGAAGGACTTGGTCCTTCATTCTTACAATTTAAACTTCCCTTAAGCTTTATCCAAGGTCGTCTTCCTACTAAGTTTGGTTAAAATTGGCCCAGTAGTTCTTGAGAAGAAGTCGAAAATGTGAAAAGTTTACAGAAGACTAACTTAGTTGAAAAAAAATCATCAGAAAAGCTCACTTGAGCTTCTCACTCAGGTGAACTAAACAAGAGACCCATGGGCCACATTGCTCACCTGAGAAACTTTGACCATCTTGTTCTGTACCAGATTTCCCCCCTTGTAATACATAAAGCATCCCCACCCTACCCCACTGATCATAATTTAGACATTTTGAAATCTGAAACTTATGATCCTTCATGATCCCCATGTACCTGTTTCCATGGCTTAACACATAATTAAGTTTTTCTCAAGTTTTTGAAATTTTAGCTTTTCTGGCCCAGTGGTTCTTAATAGAAGGTTTTCAAAGATTTTTCCTATATATTTGAATGTAAAACTTTGACTCCCATTGTGTCCCCTCCCCCCTCCCCCGGGGGTCAAACTATTCGAACCATTTATAATTAGACTACACGTTAGGATGTTTTCAATATATAACTTTCAGCTTTCTTCCTGCCCAGTGGTCCTAGAGAGATTTGAATTATGATATCCTATTTTGTGTCTTTTCTTGATTATCTCCCAAGGAAACTTTGCCATTCATTTTAACAATTTAAATTCCCCTTCACCTAAGGATGCTTTGTACCAAGTTTGGTCAAAATTGGCCCAGTGGTTCTTGAGAAGATGTCGAAAATGTGAAAAGTTTACAGACGGACAGACGGACGGACAACAGACAAGAATGCGATCAGAAAAGCTCACTTGAGCCTTCAGGCTCATGTGGACTAAAGACTATTCACATAAAAAATTATAAAAATCATAATAAAACAAGATGTGTTTGTGAACCACTATGCACCCATCAACAACAAAGTTCGTAAAGGCTATTTTTTAGCATAATGGTCAAAGTAGAGTCACAAGGTCACATGACCTTGGTATCAATTGAAAGAACTTAATCAGTTGATTATGCATACAAAATATGAAGTCTCTATCTCTCATGGTTCAAAAGCTATGGCATTTAAAATTAACCAACAAACAGACAGACAGGACAAAGACAATAAACGACCCGGGCACATAAAAATAATAGCATCGATACATATTTATACCATTATTTTTGTGGTCTGAATATTTAAAATCACATAAACACCAATGTCAAGAAAACTATTTACCCAAGGGATACATGAAAGCTTTGCTCATATTCCTCATCCTCATTCTTACTCCCGTCATCATTAGTTATTTCTGATGAATTAAATGTAAGATTAAAAAAAGGATTTCTTTAAAAAGGGGTACCCAACAATTATCAAGGAAACTAAATTGCTCTCTTTTTATGTACCTGGATTGCTAGATCTGGACATATATTGTTAATTACATGCATGCATTCATATTACTTACTCAAAAAGTTTGAATATAGATACTGAGCTGCACCATGCAGCTCAGTCTTCAACCCTAGATGCTCTACCATCATCCCTGAATTAAATAGCAAATCAGTTTATAAAAACATATAATGCTTCATCTATTAATAGTTTTTTTAAATCCCAAATATATGTGAGCATTACATTTTCTAAGTGTCTTCTGCTGCTATGTCAGATATCTCAGACCAAGGCTCTGTTATATGTATCACTTGGTCTAGCTCTCACTGCACTGACTGGAGAACTTGTTTTATGATGGCCCTGGTGTTGATGTTTCAGGTGGAATGAAGTGCTTAGTGGGGACTAATTGAATAGACTGCAAACGTTTTTCCATTTGTTTCTTCATAACTGCAAAAAAACAAAAATCAACTTGATTTTTTTTCCAGCAGACCCCCATTTCCGTCATTATTACATGTATACAAAAGACAATTCATACGCTACACTTGATTTTAAACTCTAGATTTCAGACAGTTTAAATACTGGATCCTGTGCAAAGTAATTCCCCACACTGTACAACAGACAACATACCAGTAATCACAAAAGTCAATGCTAATTAATTTCTAGACAAAAAATATTTTTGAATCTGAACCTCTAGTGAAATAAGCAAGTCTGCCTTTATTTTACTGTTGTACTAGTACGTGTACCAATATAACTAACTCGTACTTCATCCAAAATCCCTACTTAGCATACAATATTATAACAATTGACTTATGAATTTAAAAAAATACATACTTGACATAAGTATGTTTGACTTGTGGCCCTAGTATGACTGTGGACTGTAGGGGAGGAGTGCCGTCCCCAAAATCCCAGACTTACCTCAGATTAGAGCCCGAGTAACTGGGCGCGGCGAATTCTAGCGACGTGTTGACCAGTGAATCCTTCAGACAGCGTACCTCTTGGTTCTTCACTTTAGACAGGACGGTGCTTTCTACAGGCGCTGACTCCGACTGACTGATGTTGTTGTAAGCTTTTACTGTAGCAATAAACCTGGAAATTAAAATATGTTTAACATTATTTTTAGGTATTTAGGAGAACATTTCCATTGTTGATATATTGAGATAAGACAGCATGATTGATAAACTACTGAACATGAGAGGAGTTTCAATGGTTGAACATTGTAAAAAAACAGAGAGTATAAATAGGAAAGAGAGAATCTGATTGGTTGATGACTGTGAGGAGATTGAGTGATTGTATACTGTTTAACGTCCCTCTCCAGAATATTTCACTGATATGGAGACGTCACCATTGCCGGTGAAGGGCTGCAAATTTAGGCCTATGCTCGGCACTTTCGGATCTTTATCGTGCCACACCTGCTGTGACACGGGGCCTTGGTTTAAACGGCCTCATCCGAAGGACCGCCCCATTTAGTCGCCTTTTACGACAAGCAAGTAGGTACTGAGGACCTATTCTAACCCGGATCCCCACAGGGCTACTGTGAGGAGAGAATTTGAGAATTTGATTGGTTGATGACTTAAAGGAGTGAATCTGATTGGTTAATCACTATTTGGAAAATGTCTGTTTGGTTTATTTCTATGAGAAGAATGTCTGATTGGTTAATCACTATTAGGAATCTGATTGGTTAATTCTGTGAGGAGAGAGTCCGATTGGCTGATAACTGTGAGGAAAGAGTTTGATTTGTTAATCACTGTGAGGAAAGCATCTGATTGGTTTAATATTTCTTAGGAGAGAGTCTGATTGATTATGCCCTTTGGGAAGAATTGGATTGGTTGCTTTCTATCCTTTCATTACCTTCCATTTCTCCTGTATCTGTAGTCTATCTCCGGTTCTGTTGTCTGAACTCCTTTCTATCCTTACACTTACCTTCCGTTTCTCCTGTATCTGTAGTCTATCTCAAGTTCTGTTGTCTGGACTCCTTTCTATCCCTACACTTACCTTCCGTTTCTCCGGTATCTGTAGTCTATCTCCAGTTCTGTTGTCTGGACTCCTTTCTATCCCTACACTTACCTTCCATTTCTCCTGTATCTGTAGTCTATCTCCAGTTCTGTTGTCTGGACTCCTTTCTATCCCTACACTTACCTTCCGTTTCTCCTGTATCTGTAGTCTATCTCCAGTTCTGTTGTCTGGACTCCTTTCTATCCCTACACTTACCTTCCGTTTCTCCTATATTTGTAATCTATCTCTGGTTGATAACAGTGAGGAGATCATCTGATTGGTTGCTTTCTATCCTGACACTTACCTTCCATTTCTCCTGTATCTGTAGTCTATCTCTGGTTCTGTTGTCTGGACTCCTTTCTATCCTTACACTTACCTTCCATTTCTCCTGTATCTGTAGTCTATCTCTGGTTCTGTTGTCTGGACTCCTTTCTATCCCTACACTTACCTTCCATTTCTCCTGTATCTGTAGTCTATCTCTGGTTCTGTTGTCTGGACTCCTTTCTATCCCTACACTTACCTTCCATTTCTCCTGTATCTGTAGTCTATCTCTGGTTCTGTTGTCTGGACTCCTTTCTATCCCTACACTTACCTTCCATTTCTCCTGTATCTGTAGTCTATCTCTGGTTCTGTTGTCTGGACTCCTTTCTATCCCTACACTTACCTTCCATTTCTCCTGTATCTGTAGTCTATCTCCGGTTGTGATGTCTGGACTCCTTTCTTTCCCTACACTTACCTTCCGTTTCTCCTGTATCTGTAGTCTATCTCTGGTTCTGTTGTCTGGACTCCTTTCTATCCTTACACTTACCTTCCATTTCTCCTGTATCTGTAGTCTATCTCCGGTTGTGATGTCTGGACTCCTTTCTTTCCCTACACTTACCTTCTGTTTCTCCTGTATCCGTAGTCTATCTCTGGTTCTGTTGTCTGGACTCCTTTCTATCCCTACACTTACCTTCTGTTTCTCCTGTATCTGTAGTCTATTTTCGGTTCTGTTGTCTGGACTCCTTTCTATCCCTACACTTACCTTCCATTTCTCCTGTATCTGTAGTCTATCTCCGGTTCTGTTGTCTGGACTCCTTTCTGGTTGTCCCCCAGGTTCCAGTGATGGTACGTCCCCAGACCCGGTTCTGGTAACGTCTCAGCTCTCAGCTCAATCACCTGGTTTGTCTCAGTGATGTTGGTGCTCGTTATCAACCTCACCCCTTAAAATTAACAGGAAGAAATATAAATATTAAATTTTGAGGTCAAGAGAAACCTTCTATACATTGAACTGTACACTATCCCTTTCCAAGACATCTCTGTCAATAAGGGTGGTTGGGGGTTGGGGTGGGGGTGATGGTTCATTTAAAATTATTGAACACAAACATTGTAGAAGACAACTTGTTCTGTGGGTGGGGGATTTGGACACATTACTGACCTCTATCCCTGTAAGAGGCTCTTGACTTTTGACCACCATTTGTTCTTTGGAACCTTGGGGGACCTCCTTTCTTGTATATAGAACACTGACCTTGTATAAGACTCTGGACTCTGTAGGAGAGGGAGGTTGGGTTGGGGGTCATCTTGTTCACACTGGACACTAACCTTGTATCAGACTCTGGACGACCACGACCGCCTGTTCTGTCTGTGAGGACACCTTATTTCTATTGGATACTGACCTTGTATAAGACTCTGGACGACCACCACAGCGTGTTCTGTTTGTGAGGATACTGACCTTGTATAAGACTCTGGACGACCACCACAGCGTGTTCTGTCTGTGAGGATACTGACCTTGTATTAGACTCTGGACGACCACCACAGCGTGTTCTGTTTGGGAGGATACTGACCTTGTATTAGACTCTGGACGACCACCACGGCGTGTTCTGTCTGTGAGGATACTGACCTTGTATTAGACTCTGGACGACCACCACAGCGTGTTCTGTTTGGGAGGATACTGACCTTGTATAAGACTCTGGACGACCACCACAGCGTGTTCTGTTTGGGAGGATACTGACCTTGTATAAGACTCTGGACGACCACCACGGCGTGTTCTGTTTGGGAAGACACTCTGTTTCTGGCTATAACCGTTACACTGAACACTCCCCGCGTCTGGTACGTGTGTCTCATCACCGAGCCTGAACACAGAAAAGATACTTAAACAGGTCAGAAGCTCTCACACTGAACCTGAACAGATACAAAACAGGTCAGGGGCCTGGAAAGCTTACCTGAGCTACAAGCAGATTTAAAACTTCTTTTCAGGCATAAAATACAATAAATTTGCTAATCTGAAGTAAACATGTCATTATGGAACCAGTTTTCACAATTTCTAAATAATACAAGCAGGTTTGTTTTTTATTTATGAGTCATATGAGATAGAAATAAGTGAAGCGAGTAATTTCAGAATTAATTACCTGAGTTACCATTAATTACCTGAGTTACCATTAATTACCAGAATCATCATTAATTACCTATGTTACAGTTAGTTACCTGTGTTATTGTTCATTACCTGAGTTATTGAGTATATCAGTCTGGTCTCCGAGCTTCCAGTCAAATGTTACATTGGTACCATGAGAGAAAGTAGCACGCATAACAGTGACATCACCAAGTTTTGTGTAGTAAACGGATTTATCCAGCTTTAATCCAAACGGTGAGGCCTGTACATAGAACAGCCCGTCAAGTGTTGCTGTTCTGTTGCCAAGGGGATTTATTGCTGTTACCGTAATGTTAAACACTCCCTCTGAAATATGAAAACAAAGCTGCTCTAAACAGAAACCAGTTTCAAATTTAAGATGCTGAGATTTGGATCAATGTGTGGTTATATGAATGGTCTGACTATGTAGCTTACCCTGTGTGTATCTGTAATACTAGGTTTTATATGTCTATATGAATGGTCCACCTACCTTGTGTATATCTGTAATACATGTACTACATTTTATATGTCTACCAGTATACCGTAAATCCGGAAATTTTTACGTCGATTTTATTTTGCGAATCTGGGTTAAAATGCTGTTGATTAATTTTACGTTTCAAAATTTAGCGAATGTTTGCTTACATTTTCTTATTGTTGAATTATTTTTTAGAAAAATATTTTTGCAAATGCAATGAACTCGCAAATCTGCTAAAAATTATCTACAGCAAAAATTTCAATATTTACGGTATGAATGGTCCACCTACCTTGTGTATATCTGTGAGACGTGCTGCCTTTGACGTAATTAAGGAACATCTCCTCTCTCCCCTGTACCACTGTAGTCGTGCCATCACCAAAGTCAAACTGGAACTCGATGTGGGAACCCTTCTCACAGCTAAAAATAGATATAAGGAACCCCTTCTTACAATTAAATTAACATGTAGAATCCTTTCGTATAGCTGCATTAAAAAGGTAGTAAAATATATTTGACAGCTCATCAGAAAGAGCTGAAGTAAAATACAGAAATAAAGAATTTAGTGGCACTTTAGAATCAGGAAATGTTTTTATCACTTGACATAACATAACAACCAACTCCCAGGGTTTAGTGCTTTAAGGTGCCTGTACAGAACTGACTTTTGAAGTGATTGCGCAAAATTTAAGTGTCCTTAAACTAATATACTAACTAGAAAAGTTGAGGTCTCTTCCAATAATTTAAGATTTTTCTTACAAAAATTCATGGTTTTTCCCCTTGTAACACACATTACACCAATTGTGAAGCATCGCAACAATTATTTGACTGAAAACTGACAAATGAAATCTTTATAATTCCACATCTTTAGATGGTGTTTTTTGTTTACTTTGGCAACACATTCTGTCAAACAAGAAGAATTTTTTTCCCCAGCTTACTTTTTGATGTGGCCTCTGTACAATTTACTTCACAAACCCCACTGTCCGTTTTTGTCCTTTTTTTTTCTGGACGTGTCACATTTCAACAAACAAGCTGTTCACTCATGCCTCTAAATGGCCTAAACGAACAGAATTTCATTTTTTTTCCTTGATCAAAAATGTAGTGTACTGTTTATGGCTTGAAAAAAGCCTTTTTTATATTCACCATTTACGTTTGATAAAAATTATCGCTACAATATTAATGATCATTTTCATCACACTGCTTACTACACTTTAATTGACTCGGCACTGTTCAATATTCATAGTTATATAATCTGATAAAATTTTTATGGCTGTTAATTAAAGAACCTCAGTGAAATTACAAAACACTTATCAACTGAATTAATAGGTTTTATATTTCAGGATGACCAAGGTAAACGATATACAAGATATTTCTATTGGGAAGATGTGAGAAATCAGAGAAATTCCTTACGTTTTTATATGCCAAATATTTTTATTACTAGTTTCTGAATCCTCTTTCACATGTTTTATATTTTTTTTTAATTTCTATTATGAGATAAAACTATATAACTAGAAAAAAAAAATCATCCTTAATTTTTCATATGGTCAATTGCACTAAACTGAAAAAAATCATGATGTACTAATGCCACATATCAAATAGCAATATCAGCACTCTACAAACTACCGTACATCAAAGTTATCCTCTATCAGGCATTCTCACAGGGTCTTACCATTAATGGGCATCATTAAAAAAATATCTCCCTCTACTCTTATCCTGTCACACAATGTTTCACAATTTACTTCCCATAAAAATTATATCAGTTTATATGTCTCATTATGAAACTCGTCAAATTCCATGAAAAGAACAAGGACACTTTACTGAGCTATTAAAGAGCCACTGCCTCCATGTTTCTTTTTGTGAGAAATGTCCCTTCACAGAACTGAAGAACATACCTTACTCATACCACAAAAATCACAATTCTCTCTTTTTTTCACAGAAAGCATAAACAGCCTTAGTTTTGTTTACATCACTTAAAAAACAAGAGGCCCACGGGCCTTATAGGTCACCTGAGTATCATGTAACAACTTTCCAGCGATTGTATTTGGTTCGTGTTTTAATCCAAAAGCCATGAAATTCACAAATTTTGAAGAAGGCACCATTGCTTATCAAAGGGCAAATTTCAAAGCATTAATTTATTTTTAGTCAAAGTACCCCCCTGGTACCCCTGACCCAGCGTCTCTGAAAGTATCTATTTTGAAAGAGGCCCCTTTCTTCATTATAAGGCCAGCATTTTTTTTGTTTAGGTTTAGTTATGAGCATGAGAATAAAAAAGTCCCAAAGGAGAAGGAAATCAATATTTTTTTTGATAAATCAATTATTAACATTTGTACATTCTTTTTTTATGCTATTATAATAGGCTCCTTACCAATGGACACATAATGCTTACAAATAGGAAAGTAAAACATTTAATTGCCTTTTCATCATCTGCCAGTTTGGGCCAGTTATATAAATTTTGTGATGTTGGTCAAAATATATTTTTTAAAAATCAATTCTTTAAAAGTCTTTCAATATATCTTCATTTTTTTAATATGTGTTAGGTGAATGTGTAGACATTGTTCTAAAATTAAATCCTATCATAAAACAGACAGGGGGTATTGCGGGTGTAGGGTGAACATTTTTTCAATCAAGTGTAAAATAATTTTTCTGGCTGATACAAATAATACTACATGCCTGTATATATTTGTATATTCTTGCCTTAACAATTTCTTCCTCAAATGGACTGAATTTCTCCCATAGTTTTATTCATTACATCTGATGCATAAGCAACCCTTTTCTGAAGAATGATGCTTAGACTGTAAGCTATAACAGAGACCTAAACAATGTTGCTGCCCGCTGGCAATATGCAAAAGCTACCACGGGCAGTTTAAAACCTGGGGGAGGAAAATAATTTACAGACAGATACTTTTGAAACGAATACATAATTATCTCACCAGCATGTCATTGTGCAACAAAGTCGTCAGCATTTTATTTGTCCTTTGAACAGGTGAAACTTTTTGAATGGCACTCGTATCGATGAATTTTACACTAAACCAAGCTATCTTTCAGATCTCGCTTTATTTACTCGCCGTTTCATCTTAAAACCGGAAGTACGAGTTCGTAAATGTGAAATCTCGATCCCGACTCAAATTTGACATCGGAAAGAAAAAAAATTGTTTTATTTTTTTCTGAACATTCAAAACCTTGAGCGGAGGGTTTGAAACTGAAAATAAAATAAATCCTGGCCTTAAATATGTAATTAGTTCATTAGCATATTAACCAGGATGTTCAAAGAATTCATGCATTTCAATATATAATCATTAGAGCCCCACCCTAAAACAAGAACCCCTGACCCTGGGGCCATAAAATTCACAATTTTGGTAGAGGCACTCTTGCTCATCATAACTATGTACTTAGTTAGTTTATTTAATACCCAGGAGCAGAGGAGAAGATTTTCAAAGAATTCATGTATTTTCACTATATAATCAATAGAGCCCCGCCCGAACACCAGAACCCCTGACCCTGGGGCCATAAAATTCACAATTTTGGTAGAGGCACTCTTGCTCATCATACCTATGTACTTAGTTGGTTTTTTTAATACCCAGGAGCAGAGAAGAAGATTTTCAAAGAAATAATGCATTTTCACTACCTACTTATTTAGCCCCGCCCTAGCACTAGAACCCCTGACCCCAGGGCCATGAATTTTACAATTTTGGTAGAGGACTCATTGCTGATTACAATCATGCAAACAGTTTGACTGCTTGATGTCCAGGAGTAAAGAAGAAGATTTTTAAAGATTGCATTAATTTTAGTGGTTTTGGCCCCACCCCTCAGGCCCCAGGGGGGCAGGGATCATGAAATTCACAATTTTTGTTCCCCTTCACCTATAGATACTTTGTGCCAAATTTGGTTGAAATTGGTTCAGTGGTTGCAGAGAAGAAGCTGAAAATGTTCAAATGTTAACGCACGACACACGACGCACGACGGACGACGGACGACGACGGACAAAAACAGATAGCAATAGGTCACCTGAGTTTACTCAGGTGACCTAAAAATGAGTCACATCCAAGAATACACTGTTATAATATGGCCACTCATCACTGAAAGAAAAGATTCCCATTAAAGTGACGACCAGTTCGACACATCATTTATAGGGCTGTTATAGGGGAACAGTTGAAATGTAATAAAATACAGCATCTCTGATCTGTACTTCTTCTGACACTATTTTACACACACCCTGTAGCTTCTGACACTATTTCATACACCCCTGTACCTTCTCTGTGACCTTGTGTTACATGTCTATGTGCCTGCAGTCCAATTAATTAATTAATTAATTACAAGAGACCCCCTGGTGAAATGTTATTTCTGACAAGACCTGCTCGCTCTTCTTTTAATGACTTCAGGTAAACACATCTTCTTAGAAGTCCGCTCTCTTCATTTTTAATCCTTGTTTTATCTAGGTTTTTAATTAATGAGAAAATTAAAAAGTTAAGATGTAACTTTTATCTCTGATGAGCTAGGAGCCAACTGGGATCTGTACACGTCAGGAAAAACAATTATGTATCATCCTGGTTTCTTATTTAATGCAGTTCACCTAACGATGTGAAACTATATGTTGCAATATTTAAAACAAGAGGCCCATGGGCCTTACAGGCCACCTGAGCATCGAACATGCAACAACTTTCAAATGATTGAATTTGCTTCATGTTTTAAACTAGACATAATGACATTCACAACTTTGAAAGAGGCACCATTGCTGATCTGCTCATAACTATACACTTAGTAATTGCTTAGTTTGGTTACTTAATACCCATAGGCAGGGTAATGGAACAACTGCATTTCAACTTATCAGTATTATTCAGCAATAATCAGTAGTGCCCCTACCACACTTGAACCCCCAGCCCTAGGTCAAGGCATTGCACAGTTTTTGAAAAGGCACACTTGCTCATCAAAAATGTTTTATTAACCCTGGTAATGCTGAACCCGGAATATTCCGGGTTTCGAATGCACGTGCTGTGAGCTGAACCCGGAATATTCCGGGTTACGACATATTGTTTATTAGCTTATTTTTATATCGTATTTTTAGACATCCAATGGAAATAAAGTTTAATAAAAACCTTTTCCTTATTTGGTAATACATTTGAGGTTAAAACGAGCTTAGTGACGTAGCTCAAATCAGATTGGTTGTTATTTAAAACAAGTAGAGAGTTGCAAGTTTATTTATGGGTGGCCCAAAATGGCGGCGTTCTTACCACAACATGAAAACTTCTTCAACGAATTATTTAACGACGATGAAAGTGACGAAGAGTTTGAGGGATTTGAGTCTGATGATCTGGCCGACAGTTCCGATGAAGAAGTCAACGAAAATCAGAATAATTTAATAATAATAATAATAATAATGCTTTATTTAAAGAAGGTAACCCGATTAGTACAAAGTACTATTCTTCCCCGGGGCCTTCTACAATTCAAACGATATACATAAAATTGTACATTCAAACATATATACACAGTACATGAACAATGATAAGCTCATTTTATATCTTCATATAATCATAATCGGATGTAATGTACAAATTAAACTAATGGAGATATAGGACAATAAATAAGTCAATATACAAAGTTTAAAGACGTAGTAATAACAATAACAAGGACATCTATAATAATGAAAATTACAGACGTTGGCTGATTATAACTTTTTCCAAATTCGTTCTAAAGACAGGCAAAGATGGTGATAATTTAACATGTAATGGTAGATTATTCCATAAATGTACACCTGAATATTGAAAAGAGTTTGTAAATAGGATTGTTCGATGCTTTGGTAATCGAAGATTATAATTCAATTCTGAACGCAATGAGTAGGAATCGGAACTGTGAAAAATAAAAAGATCCTGGATATATTCTGGGCTAATACCACAAAAAGTTTTATACAATAAAATACATTTATAAAGCGTAACTAACTCAAAAACATTTAACCATCCTAGTTTTTCAAACAAAGGCTTAGATGGATGGTCAGGTGCTGCATCAAGAATAATTCTAGCAGCACGTTTTTGAAGTTTATGGATTCTCTCGATGTTAGATTTGGACGTATTACCCCAGACTGTAAGACAATAGTTTATTGAAGGCAAAATGTATGCATTATAGAAGAGTTTTCTTGTACTTAATGAAAGAAATTTCTTAATTTTACGGAGCGTAAATAACTTGTATCTTAATGATTTACAAACTGTATCAACATGACAATTCTACTGAAGAGATTGATGTATCTGAATACCTAGGAGTTTTTCAACTTCAACGTTTTCCAAGTTTTTGCCAGAAATTTTTGCATTAAGTACAGGGTTATTTAATCGTGATCTTTTTTGTTGGGTACACATAAGCATACATTTTGATTTGTCTGTGTTCAGTATCATCTGATTCTGTATACACCAGTTTTCAATTTCACATAAATCAGAATTCAAATGTGTTTCAATAGTATGTACATTGCTGTTAGGTAAATGCAGAGTTGCATCGTCTGCAAACATATCAATATTAGAGTAATTTACACATAAAGGAAGATCATTTATATACAATAAAAATAGAAGTGGACCTAAAATGGACCCCTGTGGTACCCCTGCTGTGATAGGTAAGATATCGGAAGAACATGTGCCAATTTTAACAGTTTGGGTCCTTTCGTTTAAATAAGACTGAAACCACTTAACTGCAAGTGAATCAAAATTATAATGGCGTAATTTTTCTATTAAGATATCATGACTGACTAAATCAAACGCCTTACTAAAATCTAGAAAAGCTATGCCAATTAAATTCCCTTGATCCATTGCATGCAACCAGTTATCAGTGAATTTGGTTAGTGCTGTTTGGCAAGAGTGGAATTCCCTAAAACCAGACTGTGAGCTCATAATGAGGTCAAAGGCTCTTGTAAATTCACGTACTTGATTTGCAATATGCTTTTCAAAAATTTTTGACAAAGTTGGTAAAATAGATATTGGGCGGTAGTTACTGGGATCACTTTTATCGCCCTTCTTATAAATGGGGGTGACTTTAGCATGTTTCAGTTGGGAAGGGAAGATGCCATTACTAATGCTAGTATTAATGAGATGAGTTATGGGTTTAGAAATTACATTTGCAGAAAGTTTTAAGAGACGGGGACCAATGAAATCTACACCTGCTGATTTATTAATGTCAAGTGAGCGTAGCATAGTTAATACATCGTCCTGACTTATAGGAAGTAGGCTAAACACATTTTCATCATTGAGTTTGGACTTCGTGAATTCTTTTAACTTTTGAGAATTAAAGCTATGGTTTTGTTTTTTTGTTAATAGATTGTCAGAAATTCTTGTGAAGTGCTCATTAAAAACATTTACGATTTGTTGTAAATCATCAATTTCTGATCCATTCTCTTTAATAAGAGTGGGGGAAATATTTTTTGACTTAGAAGCTAAATGATTGAGATAGCTCCACATTTCTCTAGGATTAGAGCTCTCCTCAATTGCTGATTTGTAATAAGTACATTTTGCATTATTAATCAAAAGTGTAACTCTATTTCTCCAATGTCGAAAATTATCAAAGTCTTTTTGTTGATGATAGTAATCTCGTAAATGTCTAGCATCATTAATTTCTTGCGTTAACCATTTAGGGCGAGACTCGGTTTTTACACGTTTAGTTTTTACCTTAGCATGCTTATTGAGAATGGTATTAAACATGCTGTAGAAGTTTTCCAATATATCATTAGGATTTTGCAAATTTGTAAGAACATTAAAATTGGCACTTTGTAAATCGGAGAGAAAGTCTTCTTCATTAAAATTCTTAAAGTCTCTGTATTGAATTTCAGTGTGTTTTCCCTTACGCTGCATGCTGTTAGATTTAAGGGTTGCACAAACAGGGTAATGGTCAGAGATAGCTATGGGTGGTACTTGAATTTCGCAGATGTTATCAGGTTGGGTAGTGTAAAAATGATCAATTAGGGTACATGAGGTGTTAGTAATTCTAGTAGGTATGGTAATTAGTTGAGTAAGTCCAAATTCTTCTAGAGCAGATGTCCAAGATTGAGGGGGGTCTTTAAGCAGATCTACATTAAAATCACCTGTAAGTATGATTTCTTGGTCATCACAGCAGGGGGCACAATTTATCTCTCTCGCTAGATCCTCCACCCAGCAGGAGGGTGCAGATGGTGGGCGGTATGCAGAACAATAAAATATGGGTTTTGTGTTCTTTAAATTAATTTCTAACCATATTGTCTCAATGTTACTGATTTCTAAATCTTTTCGACGTTTATAGGATAAATCATTTGAGATATAAATTATTATTCCACCGCCTGTCTTATTTTGTCTATCTTTTCTTTCTAGTACATAGCCATCTATACTCAAATCCGAATCACTAATATGGTCCTGTAAAAAAGTCTCACAAAGCCCCAGTACATCCATAGATCGTTCATTTTGTAACATTAATTTCAGTTCATCAAATTTTGGTACAAGATGACAAATATTAAAATTTCCAAAACGCAAACCCTTTTTGATAAGACCAAATCCGGTGTTCACCGGAGTATATTTATTTGTTATGCTTATAGCTTTGTTTGAATCAATACTTTCACACGTAAGACTTTTGTTAATCTCATTTTCAGACATAGATATTTGCGTATCTTTAAGGGAATTTCTTTCTTTTGGAGGTGCATATTTTACTCGAGGAATTTTAACGGTGGGAGAATTTTTCACAGCGCATATACATAATATTTTGTTACATTCTGAACATACAGTTTGGAGAGGTAAAGAATTATTTTGAAGACTTAAGGAATTAATTTCTGTATATTCGGCCTGACATTCGTTGCCCCTATTCTAGTATGGACAAAACTTTTGTTTATGTCCAGGTTCCCCACAATACCAACAGTCTACTTTGCTACCATGTCGGCAATTTCGGGATGAATGGCCTTGTTCCCCACAGTAGTAACAGGATGTAGACTTCCTGGATACGGGCGGAGGTTGCATCTGATTCTGCTTTAGAATTGGGACATGTTCATTGTAAAGTTTCAGCAGAGAGGCGGTTCCTTTGTCTGACAAATGTATGCCGTCCTTCCAGTACAAAGAGGAATTCCAGTCATTAAAAATCCGACTAGATTTAAGAACTGTTGCACCGTATTCCTCACATACAAAGCGGATAGTATCATTTACACCGGTGACCACTGTATCTTTTCTTGGCATGACTTCAGACACGAAAACACGAATGTTTGAATTTCTTTTCCGTAGATCCGTTATTATTGCAGAAAAGTCGTTTTCCACTGCTTCCATATCTCGCTGATTTGAGATATCATTTCCCCCAGCCTGAATAATTACATTTTCCAGAAAAGAAACATGGTATTGACTAAGTTTTTTTACGAATAAATGAGATACTGGCACCCCTATTCGTACTCACTCTAACTTTTGAATTTAACCCACGGGATTTAATTCTTTGCAGAATTGAAATGCCAATGATGAGTGTTTATTTCTCAGAATTTGGAGATTTTTGAAAGAAATTCCGTCTTGGTTTTCTGTACACATGTGTTTCCGATTCTGTATTCGTTGAACATTCATTTTTAGAAGTTTCAGAAAGAACATTGTCACACTGCACATGTCTAGAAGTGATATTGTTGGATCCTTTCGGTAGATCATCGGTACAATTGCCTTTGTTCTTGACGACTTTCGAAATTGTTTGAGTACTCGAACTGGTTAAGTTTTTCTGTACATTTTCACCCAGTTTTTTTTTTAAAGACTCAACTTCTACGCGCAGAGCAGAATCACTACACTTGCTACATTCTTTTGATTCATTACACTGCGAAAAACTTGATGAATTTCTCATAGGAGTAGATGCCATATGTGGTGGTGGCTGAGATAGAATAATATTTGATTCATTAATATCACAGGCATAGACACTTATTTCTTCAAGGAATTTCTCGCACCATGTTGTTGCTGAACTACCCTGAATGTGTAGTACTGAGGTGCTTCTGTATATCGTAGCCGTGACCGATCTGCAATCAGTCTTAAAAATATGGCCATCTCCTCTAGTAGTTTTCTCAAAAGTTAGCTCTTGTTCAAGATATGAGAAAATGGCGTCATATTTTACCTTGTCAAAACTCACAGTGATGCTCCTTTTGTTGGTGGTTACTTTAAGGAAGCTGGGTAAATCCACATTGATTTGTAGTTTATCCTGACTGTCATTTATTGGATTTGTTAGTCCAGAAAAAGAATCCAAAATTGATCTGAAAAAGCTTGAACCTGAGCTTTCATCCATCATTTTATCTACTACATTGTGTTTTTAACACAGGAATCATAATCCAAATCAAAACAGTATAGGTATCTCAGGTAAAATCAAGAGCAACTTGAAGTACGTCTTATCTCTTCGGTGTCTTATCTTAATATTTCATGGCAAACTGGCAAGATGGTGACTGACCTCGCACTGACATGGGCTTCACAGGCGTCCCTGGACTAAATGTTGAAATGCCAGATGATCAACATTCGCCACTTGATTTTTTCAACCTATTCATCAAGGATGATGATTTCCAGACCATGGCAGACGAAACCAATCGCTATGCGGAGCAGTATCTACAACGAAATGAGGGAAACCTCAAGCCTTCTTCCCGATTTCGTAACTGGGTCAAAACCACACTGGATGAAATGAAGGTGTTTATCGCAATGACGATTGCGATGGGTTTAGTAGTTCAGCTGGACATTTCCGAGTATTGGACAATATCGGAGGTGAATACCACACCGTTTTTTCCGTCATTAATGCCAAGGGACAGGTTTTGGCTCCTTATGTGCTTCTTTCATTTGGCAGATAACAGCGCACAGGTACGTTGAGGAAACGCAGGTTACAACCCTCTATACAAACTCGGATCCCTTTACAAAAACATTATTTCTTCATTCGGGACTGTGTTTCGTCCACACCAACATCTGTCTTTGGATGAAGGGATGGTACCGTGGCAAGGAAATCTGTCTTTTCGTGTGTACAATCCAGACAAACCCAAGAAGTATGGGATCAAGGCCTACATGTTCTGTGATGCAGTGACTGGGTATTGTTTACGTTTAAAACTTTATCCTGGGAAATCGGAGACACCTGCTAGTGCAAATGGGGCTACATACGACTTAGTTATGGACATGATGCGAGGATACTTTGGACAAGGTTACATTTTGTACATGGACAATTATTATAGTTCACCACAGCTTTACACAGACTTGTTTGTGCTCGGGTGTGGTGCCACTGGAACATTACGGGTTAATCGCAAGGGAATTCCACAGCGAATAAAGGACAAAAAGGTGGACAAAGGTAACATGTTCAGTATGTGTGTAATGATGAACTTGTTCTTGTGAAGTACCATGACCGTAAAGTTGTTTACCTGTTATCTACCATCGAGGAAGCTGCAAAAGCCCCCTGTGGAAGAGTGGCACCAAGAACAGGAACACCTATTGAAAATCCTGCGATCGTTAATGTGTACAACAAGTATATGGGAGGCATAGATCGGTCTGATCAAATGGTTTCTTACGCTACTTTCAATGCCAGGACCCTGAAGTGGTGGAAGCGTGTGATTTTCCATGTGATTTCTCTAGCTACTTTGAATGCTTACCTGTGCTACAAGACCCTAACTCCCAGGAAACCTATGCTTCACAGAGTTTTCCGAAAACAACTTGTAACCGAACTTGTGCAGTCCGTTAACAGAGCATGTGTCCCGGGAATGAGTACAAAGCCTGTCGGGAGGCCTAGCACTGCAGCAGAACCCATCATGAGACTGCAGGGGCAGCATTTCCCCATGAAGATCGTTGGAACAGGCATAAAGAAAAACATTACCCGTGCTTGTGTCGTGTGCTCGGTGGCAGAGAGGCAGAGGCTCGAATCCATTGGAGAAAAAAGGAAAAGAGCAGGAAAGGAATCTAGCTATCAATGTGACAAGTGTCTGTCTGCCTTATGCGTTGACCCCTGCTTCAAACTTTTTCACACACATAAAGACTACATAGCTGCGTACAAGACGCGTGTGATGGTCAACAAGTAAATTTTACCAGTTCAGAAGTGAAAAATATGTGCTGATACAAATCCATCTAAATTTATTTATTATGACATTTTATGTGTTCATTGTTGATCTATTATTCATTTTATCTGTTATAAGTATTACATTGAAAACTAGATTCCTTTTCTGTCTTTTTCTTATGACATTTCATGTGTTCATTATATTATTTGTGCTATCTGTTATAATTTAAATTATTTATTTATATATTTATTTATTTATTTTTATTTATTTATTTATCTGTGATTAATCAATTTTTAAATTTCTAATGAAATATTGATTGATTTGATTTAAAACAATAATATGATATTTCTCTTCTAATATCTATTTCTTTATGTTTTTACCTGTATTTACCTGAAGGTTACCTAAATATATATGTATGTGTACATGTATATAATTATTACCTGTTCAGGTTTGAAAATTATGTGTAGATACATTAAATCCAAATTTAATTATCAAGACATTTTATGTATTTATTTTATTATTCATGTTATTTGTTATAAGTTATTTATTTATTTTTATGTTATTGTATTTAATTAGTTGCATATTTAAAGTTATTCAGTCATTTTCATTGGTTGTTGAAATTGATTTTACCTGTTGAAAAATACATACCTGTTCAGTAATTGAATGAAGAAAATTGTCAATTAATTATTTATTCATTAATTTCTCATGAAATATTGATTGATTTGATTTAAAAAATAATATTTCTCTTCTAAAATCTAATTTTTTTTTTTATGTTTTTACCTGTATTTACCTGAAGATTACCTGTACAACTGTATACATACAAATATATTGTATTATAACATATTTGAAATAGAAGCTAAAAGTCTGCTGAACATTTTGATGTATAATATGTCTATATTACTATTATTGTTACTGAATAAATTTGATTTAAACAAACCACCTCTTTTACTTTCAAAACTAGGCAAAAATATTCAGCTCATAGCCTTTTCACTTTGTATTATATACAGCATTACTAGGGTTAATTACAATTTAGGAGCATATTTCAAACGATAAATTCATTTTCAGTAAATAAGTAGAGCCCCCCCCCTCTATGGTACCCCTGACCCTGTCTCTTTATCATAACTATGTACTTAGTTATTTTATTTAATACCCAGAAGCAGAGAAAATTTTCAAAGAATTAATGTATTTCACTATACTCTGTGGTTTCATCAATATTTGTTGAACAACAATTTCGAAGTTTTTGTTGCTGAACTGATCCTAACGAAATTAAATGTTCATTGAATTGAGAAATGTGTTATTCATTTGCATAGACATGCAATGCTTTTGTCCATGAATATACGTATCCGCGAAAGCATCCATTTTGCAAAATCCACGAATATTGATGGCAACAAAAATTGATGAAACTACAGTAATCAATAAACCCCTGCCCTAACACCAGAACCCCTGACCCTGGGGCCAGTACATAAAGTTGTGACATACGACGACGGACGAAAAACAGATAGCAATAGGTCACCTGAGTGATTCTCATCAATATCTGAGTATATATGAAGTTTGATGAAAATATCATATGCTTCTTTGAAACTGAGCTTTGAACAGAGCTAAACGCAAAGTATAACAGGAGAGACGATGGACATAACAAACATTATTATACTTCTGTTAAAATGTTTCCTATATAAAGTTTAGAAGGTAAAATAGCTATCTTTTATAGTTCACGCATAGCAAAGCTATACCCCAGGGTATAGTTTTTGTTATTATACCTCTGTTTATTTTTTCTATATAAAAATCAGACGAATAAACATGCTATTTTTTTCTAAACAGTCTCTATCGGGAAATAGTTTCAGTGCTAGTTGCCCATGGTGAATAGTCCTCAAACTATTTAACGGCAGAATTCCGTTTCCCTCGCTTTTCATCTAGGAAAACTTCTGGTTTTATACGGATTGTGACACGTATATATTATGACGTAACAAAAGTTAAGTAAGCATCGGTATAATATGGAATATCAAAATTGTGTGTACCCTGAACTCCCAGAAAGTTAACAAAGGTTAAGTCAGCATCGGTATAATAAAACACCTATTTACTGACTATTCGGACAATAGCAAGTTTATCGTCCCCCTCGACTGTCTCTGGGGAACGATAAACTTGCTATTGTCCTCAAAGCCAGTAAATAGGTGTATACTATCCACCCTTGGAAAATTTTCATGCAATTTTTACCTCCAATTTTGATTTCCAGCAACATATCTATCGACTGATGATGTCATAATGACTTAAGTAGCAACGCCATCAGGTTTTCAGATTATTCTTGCAGTATTACTGAACTCCAAAATTATGTGAATTAACATGCCCAACTAACCTTTATTGTCTTTCAAAATCAATTAAATTATTTCATTCTAAGACCCAGGTTGCATCACCTGACAAAGTTTGATGATTCTTAGCCAATTAGGACTACTTTTTGGTCTACATTCTTGGAAAACACAAAATGCATCAACTGACAAAGTTTTATAATTCTAAGCCAATAAATACCTAAGATACTTAAAAAAAGCCATAAAATGTCACCGTGACCTTCTTTTTTGGTCGAAACTTCTCTGAAAAACCCAAGATGCATCAACTGACAATGTTTGATGATAAGCCAATAAGTACCGGAAAATACCAGGTACTTAAATATAGCCATAAAATGTCAAAAGAAGGTCATCATGACCTACATTTTGGTTGACATTTTTAGAGTCCCAAGATGCATCTGCTGACCAACTGTAATAACTTCTAAGCCAATAAATACCTGAGATATTCAAAAGTAGGTCACCATGACTTACTTTTTGGAAGAAATTCTCCATAAACCCAAGATGCATCAACTGACAAAGTATGATGATTCTAAACCAATTAGTACTAGAGATACATAAATATAGCCATAAAATGTCAAAAAGGAGGTCACTGTGACCTACTTTTTGGTCGACATCCTCGGAATACCAAAGATGCATCAACTGACAAAGTTTGATGATTCTAAGCCAATAAGTACCGCAATAGTATCTTAAATATAGCCTTAAAATGTCAAAAGTAAGTCACTGTGACCTAATTTTGGTCATCACTCTCCGAAAACCCAGATGCATCAACTGAAGAAGTTTCATGATTCTAAGCCAATAAGTACCAGAGATACTTAAATATAGCCATAAAATGTAGAAAGTAATAACTATGTGACCTAATTTTTGGTCATCATTCTCTGAAAACCCAAGATGCATCAACTGACAAAGTTCTATGATTCTAAACCAATAAGTACCAGAGATACTTAAATATAGCCATAAAATGTCGAAAGTAGGTCACTGTGACCTAATTTTTGGTCATCACTCTCTGAAAACCCAAGATGCATCAACTCACAAAGTTTGATGATTCTAAGCCAATAAATACCTAAGATACTTAAATCTAGCCATTAAATGTCAAAAGTAGGTCACCGTGAACTACATTTTGGTCCACATTTTCAGAGTCCCAAGATGCATCGCCTGACCAAGTTTGATAATATGTAGGTTTGAAGGTAATCAAAATATGCCTTTTAAACAATTTGAAAACAAATGCCTGTAAAATTCTAAAAGTAGGTCACAGTGACTTACTTTTTCTTTAATATGTTTTTAGGTCCCAAGATGCAGCAACTTACAAAATTTGATGATTCTAACCCTTTCAGTGCCTGAAATAATGAGATAAAATGTTTTAAAAAGGAAAGGTCGCAAAGTTCAAAAAGTAGGTCATGGTGACCTACTTTTAAGTTGACGTTGTTCAAGGGCCCAAGATGCATCATCTGACTAAGTTTGATGATCATAGGCCTTAAAGTGTCAAAAATATGCCTTCAAATCAATTTGAAAACAAATACCCGCAAAATTAAAAAAGTATGTAGTCGTGACCTACTTTTGAGTTAAAATGATGTGAAGTCCTAGGATGCATCAACTTACAAGATTTGATGATCCTAGTCTTTATATTAAGCAAATTATAGACATTTTCATTAATTGTAAATTTAGGTCAACTTTAAAGTGACCTTGAGACCACGCCCTTTGCCCCAGGGTCATGCCTTGAACAATTTTTAATCTTCAACATATCCTAATCCTTATATGTAAGTTTGGTGAAAATCTGCCTGGTGGTTCTTGAGAAGAAGATTTTTTTGCAACCAGTACTTTTGGTTTTGTTTTCCTGATTATCTCCCCTTGTTTTAGGGTCCCAACCCTTATTTTAGTATAAATGGTAGCCCTTGGGCCAAGGATACCCTGTGACAAATTTAACACTGATTGGCCAAGGGGTTCTTGAGTTATGGCCCATATTCTAAAAAGTTAACGCACACCGCACAAATGGCCATAGCATTAGCTCTTTGAGCCTTTGGCTCAGAAGAGCTAATGATTATACATCAGTATGATAAAACGCTTATCCACTGGGTGTGAGTGGGATAGCTCTTTATCAAACCCTTGACAGTGACTATTTCCCTCGGGCAAGTCCTCGGGGAATAGTTCTCTTTTGCGGGTTTGATAAAAGAGCTCTCTCACTCACACCCAGTGGATAAGTGTATACTATCTGCCCTGTCCATATTCCAGGTGGGGCATAAAAACCATATCTTATTTTATACCTATCCTATTATGCTACAGTTTTGCTTTATATTTAAAGACAATACTAATCCCATAGCTGGAAATATTTTAAGCCAACATTCAAGTGTTACTGATATTAAGTCTGTATCAGACAATTGCAGCAAAAGCATCAGGAGTCCATTATACATGCAGGAAACGAATTTGATTACTGAAGTTATATTTGGTAAGTAATATTGGGAGAGTTCAACATTTTTAATGAATTTGATTCAGTAAGGAAGTTTCCATACTTCCTAAGCTGATTTACACATCATGATATAACTGAGATACGTCTACAATATACAATCTGTAACTTGACACTAGCCTACACATCAGCAGAAAGGAATATACATCACTGAAAATGGACTCCATTAGAAGATCACAAACGTAAGTTTTCATGACAAGAATTTAAAACACTAAGAACAATTTCTAAAT